CTGTCAAATTTTAAATTATTTCCGGTGACCGGAAGTAATACTTTTCGCTATTTCCGATTTCTCAACAAACGTATATGAATTTGTAAAGTAATAATGATTGTTTGCTGTTCACTTGATTCGTAATTCTTTTGCTACGAAATTGAATTCTATTTTTAAAAGTTTAAATTTTAATTAATTTAAAAAATGATTAAAGATCATGTCTATATCCCGAGTTGCTACCCTGTAGTGTTATATAAGAATTTTTTTGAACGTTTAGGTGATACCAAGGTCTCATATAGTCCACCTAGGCCCACCTACATACCTAAAAGGTCCAACACACGATGCAATAAATCGCCATTCAGCTTAGTTTTTTTTTCTAATTCTTTGTCTCTTAGAGTCTATTTCCGTGAATGCAGGTGTATCTAAAAATAGATTGAACTTATTAATCTCAACCAACTTCGACAATCACTAAACTCCTGTCACAATCAAGTTTCGTGTATGTGGCTAAAGTCAAAAACTGTCTCAAGGACAGCCAAGGTCAAGGGTTACTTCTGGCATACGGGAACATTGGCACACGGGAACATTGGCACACGAGAACATTGGCACACGGTAACATTGGCACACGGTAACATTGGCACACGGGAACATTAGCACACGGGAACATTCGCACACGGTAACATTGGCACATGGGAACATTAGCACACGGTAACATTGGCACATGGGAACATTGACACACGGGAGCAATGGCACATGGGAACATAATTCATCAAATAGCCAGCTAGTTGTGAGAGAAAATTGAAATCAACATGTTAATAAGATCGCTTTAATTTAGATCACCTAAATTAAGATCACGTTAATTAAGATCAATTTAAATAATATCACCTTAATTAAGATCACCTTAATTAAGATCACCTTAATTAAGACCAATGAGCCTTTCCGCAAGTCAGCAAAAAAAAAGTTTCACCACGTTATTCGTGTCTGTTAGCTCTGGTCTATTAATAGATCAACAACCTTGTGATCTCGTTACCGGAGAAGGTCAGCTATTTATAGCTAGATAAACCAGATTTTGATAGATGAACTGATTGAAAAATGAACGGTTTGCTCAATGGTTGCTTACTGCTGTCGAGGATAGACAACATAAGCAACAGCACGATGCTTATGTTGTCTACAGAGAATGTCAGAGGAGGCAACACATAGTCTTATCTCACGAATCTGTTAAAATTCTAACATTCGCTTTCATTTAAATTATTTATTATACTATTTTCTTACACTAATTCTACCCCTAACCTTAATATTTACTCCATATCCCGAATCAACAACACTAATTCTGAATACCCTTAACATTAACTATAGTCCTTTAAAATTATATTTTATAAAACAGGCGTCTATTTCCTCACCATGAAACGATATAAGCAAAAGACAAAAATAAATGACATTTTCACAGAAGGTTGTAGGGGCCTATACACTGTCCAGCGTTCCTTACTTTCTGTAATCTTCTATCAATAAAAGCAAACCGGGTGATGTTTGGGTTCTTTGTTACTCACACACTTGCAGGTAAGTTCTTGATAAAGTTTGCTGTTCACTCTCTTTTTACCGGGAAAATTTGAGTCATTTCAAAAATCGAGTTTGAAGTGACCGAAAACTGACCTAGAGTGACCGCGGCCTACTCTACATTTTAAAAGTGATTGATTTAGAAGATGCGAGAAAAAAGTTGGTATTTGGTGAGGAAATAGCTCTGGTGCACCTGGGTTAATACCAGATTCTCAGAAATGTCTTGCCGTTGAGATTTGAGTGGCATACAGGCGTTAAAAATTGAAACGATTTACCCTTCAATTTTAGCTTTTAGCGTAACAGCTCCAGGAATTTAAACTTTTATTTTCTCCCGTTCTTTGACTACACACAAAAATAAACAAAGAAAAAATTTTGATAAAAGAAAAATACCTTTAAAATATATACTAATCAGTTTTCAAATAGGTGTGAAATTAATAATAAACCGGGAGTGATCTCCCCTAAACTTTCTCGAATATTCTGATATAAAACAACAGGGGATGGGAACTCGGGATATAGTTATGATTTTTAATCCATTTTAAATACTTAAACTTTTAAAAATATAATAGAATATCATAGAAAAAAAAGAATTGCGCACCAAGCTAACGCCAAATAAAGATGTTCGTAATAGTGCGCAATATTATTAGTACTTTATAAATTTACATGCGTTTTTTGAGAAATCGGAAATAGCGTAAATTATTACTTCCGATCAACGGAAATTACTCAAAATTTGTCAGGATGTAGAGAATTAGATCTTTTACTTACATGTGAAATTTCATTTATCTATCTGAAATAGTACTCAAGTTATAGGCTTTTGAAAAATTCAAAGTAGAAAAAGCACCACTTCCGGTTTACGGAAATCGCTCAAAAGTTGATACGGATCTACGATTTTGATAAAATACTTATATATGGAATTTCATCAACCTAGCTGTAACGGTACTCAAGTTATTGTGTTTACACACTTACACACACACACACACACACACATACGGACAAGATTGCAAAGTTATGTTTTTCCGTATCAGTGAGGTGTAAAACGTCGAGATTTGCAAAAATCTCGATTTTTTTTTGTATATACGAGAAAGTAAAAAAAAACCTAACAAGTACGCTTAAAAATTATACCTACATTAAGGGATATAACTGCCTCTGGAATTTCAACTTTTAATTTCCCCAAGCCTTTGATTACACAAAAAAACTATAATTACATGTAGATAAACGAAAAAACTCTTTAAAATGTATTCTTAACAATATTCAGGTAGGTTAAAAATAAACCATCTCTAATAACTGATATTTGATCAGATAGGGTTAAAAATAAACTATCGCTAATAACTGAGGAGGCAACTTGTAAAAGTCAACTTTTTGAAAAAGTAAAACATAGGTTGCTCTTATAGTCTTCATTATACCGTGGTTAATTAGTATTCTAACTTTTATTCTGAAAGGTATAAACATTATAAAGATACCAACATTATAAAAATTCCAACATAATTAAAAAACATCACCATTATAAAAATACCAACACAATAAAAATATTTCCATATAAAAATAACACCATATAAAAATATTTCCATATAAAAAAAAATCATATAAAAATATCACCGTATAAAAATATCACTGTATAAAGATATCATTATAAAAATAGCACCATATAAAAATATCACCATATAAAAATAGTACCATATAAAAATAGCACCATATAAAAATAGCACCATATAATTATAGCACCATATAAAATAGCACCATATAAAAATAGCACCATATAAAAATAGCACCATATAAAAATAGCACCATATAAACATAAGCACCATATAAACATAGCACCATATAAGTATAGCACCATATAAAAATATCAACTTATAAAGATAGCACCATATAAAAATAGCACCATATAAAAATATCACCATCATTAAATTAGCTTCAATTCCACCTCTAGCTGCGACATTTTGGTGTATTGTTTCAAGAATAATTATCGGAATAATTTGTTTATATTGAGTTTCATATTCTCATTAGAATGTTTAACCAAGATATAAATTAGATTGATTAAAAAATTGAAGCACAACATATTAACATATGAACTAGTAAGTGACCTCAAATAGACGAAGGTCATTTGATAACCGGGTAAGTGACCTCATATAGACGAAGGTCATTTGATAGCCTAGCTTTGTTGCGCGGTTTGACCTATGAATACAAATCACGTGACCGATGATATACTGATGGAGCTGAAAAAGTTGGCAATGTTTAGGAAATTCTAAGAATTTTATATATCTTAGAATGTGATGATCTTCCGCCCCCCCCCTTAGTTGATCTGCCCCCCCCCCCCTTAGTTGATCTGCCCCCCCCCCCTCAGTTGATCTTCCCCCCCCCCCCCCCCGTAAGATATAATCAATGCTGTATGCCTTCAGAACCTCAGTCCCCCCCCCCCCCTCCCAACCTTTCCCCGTCCCCTAGTTTGGCTAACAATGCACCTCCTGCGATAGCAACCCACCTCCCCCCTACCCCAATGCACCCTTTGAATCGAATTAAAGCCGGAGCGACTAGATCAATACAACCAGATCAGCCCCGGAATTTTGAATTCATTTGTTCCGGGTCGTCTCCCTTGCCTAGGGGACACAACCCGCGAGGACAAAGGTCCAGTGACGTCACGCATGTCGTTTGGTACCAACCCTCGTCTCAGTCATCCTTACTGGTCACGTGGGCAAAAGTCACCAATTAAAAAGTTAAAATTTCAGTTTTCAGTTGTTTTTAAACATCCGTTCCGGCTAGGCTCTGTCCTGGCTAAGATAGTTGGTTGTCCAAAGATTGTAGGTCTATCAATCATCCAACATCAAAGTTGTGCTTTAACCATCAGCCGTTAGAGGACTGCACGTTCTTAGTGTAGCAGCATGCAGCAGGTGAAGTAGATTTAGTACAGTTTGTAACGTCACTCGTGGACTTGTCTAGATAAGCAGCCTAAATATTTCTGGCTAACACTGCTCCAACTTAAGACTGGCTAAACATGGTTAGACCGGCTAAATCTGGTTAGACCGGCTAAATCTGGTTAGACCGGCTAAATCTGGTTAGACCGGCTAAACCTGGTTAGACCGGCTAAATCTGGTTAGATCGGCTAAATCTGGTTATACCGGCTAAACCTGGTTAGACCGGCTAAATCTGGTTAGACCGGCTAAACCTGGTTAGACCGGCTAAATCTGGTTAGACCGGCTAAACCTGGTTAGACCGGCTAAACCTGGTTAGACCGGCTAAACCTGGTTAGACCGGCTAAATCTGGTTAGACCGGCTAAATCTGGTTAGACCGGCTAAATCTGGTTAGACCGGCTAAACCTGGTTAGACCGGCTAAACCTGGTTAGACCGGCTAAATCTGGTTAGACCGGCTAAATCTGGTTAGACCGGCTAAACCTGGTTAGACCGGCTAAATCTGGTTAGACCGGCTAAATCTGCCCCTCATGACGTGTTGATGACGTGTTCCTGACTTCCCCAGGTCGTCACGTGACGTGTCAGCCAGGTATGTGGAGATGAGAGCAGTGACCGACCCGCACACAGACTCACGACTTTCTCTACAGGAATCAGAGGGTGAGTACACACTGACCAGAGGGTGAGTACACATTGACCAGAGGGTTGGTACACTACTGACTAGAGGGTGGGTACACCACTGACTAGAGGGTTGGTACACCACTGACCAGAGGGTTGGTACACTACTGACAAGAGGGTGGGTACACCACTGACTAGAGGGTTGGTACACCACTGACCAGAGGGTTGGTACACCACTGACCAGAGGGTGAGTACACACTGACCACAGGGTTGGTACACCACTGACCACAGGGTTGGTACACCACTGACCACAGGGTTGGTACACCACTGACCAGAGGGTTGGTACACCACTGACCAGAGGGTTGGTACACCACTGACTAGAGGGTTGGTACACCACTGGCTAGAGGGTTGGTACACCACTGGCCAGAGGGTTGGTACACCACTGACTAGAGGGTTGGTACACCACTGACCAGAGGATTGGTACACCAATGACTAGAGGGTTGGTACACCACTGACTAGAGGGTTGGTACACCACTGACTAGAGGGTTGGTACACCACTGACCAGAGGATTGGTACACCAATGACTAGAGGGTTGGTACACCACTGACCACAGGGTTGGTACACCACTGACTAGAGGGTTGGTACACCACTGACCAGAGGGTTGGTACACCACTGACTAGAGGGTTGGTACACCACTGACTAGAGGGTTGGTACACCACTGACCACAGGGTTGGTACACCACTGACTAGAGGGTTGGTACACCACTGACCAGAGGGTTGGTACACCACTGACTAGAGGGTTGGTACACCACTGACCAGAGGGTTGGTACACGACTGACCATAGGATTGGTACACCACTGACTAGAGGGTTGGTACACCACTGACTAGAGGGTTGGTACACCACTGACTAGAGGGTTGGTACACCACTGACTAGAGGGTTGGTACACCACTGACCAGAGGGTTGGTACACCACTGACCAGAGGGTTGGTACACCACTGACTAGAGGGTTGGTACAACACTGACTAGAGGGTTGGTACACCACTGACCAGAGGGTTGGTACACCACTGACTAGAGGGTTGGTACACCACTGACTAGAGGGTTGGTACACCACTGACTAGAGGGTTGGTACACCACTGACTAGAGGGTTGGTACACCACTGACCAGAGGGTTGGTACACCACTGACTAGAGGGTTGGTACACCAATGACCAGAGGGTTGGTACACCACTGACTAGAGGGTTGGTACACCACTGACCAGAGGGTTGGTACACCACTGACCAGAGGGTTGGTACACCACTGACCAGAGGGTTGGTACACCACTGACCAGAGGGTTGGTACACCACTGACCAGAGGGTTGGTACACCACTGACCAGAGGGTTGGTACACCACTGACCAGAGGGTTGGTACACCACTGACCAGAGGGTTGGTACACACTGACCAGAGGGTTGGTACACACTGACCAGAGGGTTGGTACACCACTGACTAGAGGGTTGGTACACCACTGACCAGAGGGTTGGTACACCACTGACCATAAGGTTCTATCAATTTTATTTTTTTTAACTGGGGCCCATAATTTTGTAACTGGGGCCATTTATATTTCGAAGTGGAGCCCATTACTTTATAAACTGGGACGCATTATATAGTTTAACCGCGGCTCAGTTAGTAGGCCCCACCCTAGGCAGGTAAACGTTGAAATGTAGGCCGCAGAAAAAAAATTGTTTTTATTTTGAATCCGTCAATCAAGTGGGCCATGGAATTCTGGTGCCAATCAAATAAACCTGTCATATCTTGGACTGGACAGTCTGTGGCATCGGCAGGATTAGCAGACCACCAAACTGATTTTAAACCACCAAACTGATGTTGAACCATCAAACTGGTGTTAAACCACCAAACTGATGTTAAACCTTTACACTGATGTTGAACCATAAAACTGGTGTTGAGCCATCATGTTGCTATTGAGCTCGGCTGTTGAAATGTTTTTCCTAGGTTCGTTCATTCGCTTCTTATTTTTTTAATCAAATATGATTTACCTGAGACAGGTGTTATACCAATGACTGATTCGTCATGCTGTTGGTGCTAATGCCGCCGCGTTTCATCTTCTCAAAGTGACGCTTTGTAGTAATATGTGCTCAAAACTTTGCCGATAAAGTTTTCAAATAATTTTTTTTTTTAAAAACCACATGACCTCGTTATTTACATTCTCATTGATAAAACAAAAAAAAAAAAAGGAAATTATTATAGCTTTTTTACTTTCTCGTTTACGAAGTATAGAGAAAGTATTGTTATCGTGCGAAAAAAAAAATCGAGATTTTTGCAAATCTGGACGTTTTACACCTCCCTGAGTCGGAAAAACATAGTTTTGCAATCTTGTCCGTATGTCTGTGTGTGTGTCTGTGTCTGTGAACACGATAACTTGAGTACTGTTACAGCTATGTTGATGAAATTGCAAATACAAGTGTTAAATCGAATTTGTTGTTCTGTATAAACTTTTCAGCGATTTCCGGTAACCGGAAGTGGAACTTATTCGACTTTCAATTTTTCAAAAGCCTATAACTCGAGTACTGTATCAGATAGATAAATGAAATTTCACATGTTATTAAAAGATCTAAATTTCTGCCTTCTTGCCAATTTTGAGTAATTTCCGTTGACCGGAAGTAGTACTTTACGCGATTTCTGATTTCTAAAAAAATGCATGTGAATTTAAAAGTACTAATAATATTCCGCACTATTGTAAACATTTTGTTTGACATTTGCTTTATATTAAATTTCGTCCACCTAACTTAAACGGTACTCAAGTTATTCGCTTTTTAGAAACCGAAAATAGAGAAAATACCACTTCTGGTTACAGGAAAGCGCTCAAAATTTGATACGCAACTACAAATTTCATATTTTATATAAGAAATTTCGTCAACAAAACTGAAACGGTACCCAAGTTATCGTGTTCACAGACACACAAACACAGACATACAAACATACATACATAATTGTAAAACTAAGATTTCTCGATTCATGGAGTTGTAAAACGTTGATTTATTCCACGATTATGATATTTTCTACTTCGTGTACGAGTACGAGAAAGTCAAAAAGGTATAGCCAAAGTGAAGTCTATTTAAAAAAACCATTTCTTAGAATTTATAAAAATTTCATAAAAAACGTTTTAATAACAAGCTTTTACGTAATAATGCACTAAAAAGGAGAAAATAAATTATACACTACTATTTAAATAAATATATATATATTGGATACCTTTACTAATATTTAGGAAAAAACCCACGCTTTTCTTTACAGTTATTTAAATAGTAGTGTATAATTTATTTTCTCCTTTTTAGTGCATTATTACATAAAAGTTTGTAATAAAAGTTTTTTTTTTTTTTTTTTTTAGTAGCCTACTTTACATGTTTTTATTTACAATAGAGTTACATGACTAAAAACATTGCGCGCCTATTGAACGTGATGACGCGTGTGGAGTAGAAATGCCTACTAAATTGGTCAAAAATTTAATTAATTCATACAAAATTAATTAGGCAACAAATTAAGTCAAATTGAATGTCATGTTGCGTTGTCTTCATGTCTTGACCCACGTACCAACTACGAACCGTATCTGTCAGTTTGAAGTGCCTGCAATTTCACACGGGCGTTTCGATCTAGACAGACAGACAGAGTGACAACATACTGACGACAGAAGAAGTGAGTTAAATAAAAGCTTGTAAAAAAATAGAGTAATTCGTAAACAATCTTTACTTGATTTCTAAATTAAGTCAAAGTTTGAGAGCCAGTGTGTGGTAAATTAATGAACGGTCCATGTATTGTGTCTAGCATCAGGACTAGATTTTGGATTATAGTTTGAGGTTTAGAACTAGATTTGGCAGAGTTTAGGCGAAGAGTTTAAATAATTGTGTCCATCCCGTGTACACCCCCCACCCCCTCCCCCCCCCCCCCCCCGTCAGCTCCCCCGTGTCACATATTCCGTGCACTCCACGCCCCCCCCCCCCGCTAATTCTATTAATAGAAGAAAAACAGACTAATGATGAACCGCGGTAACTGTCGTCTGCTGAAAAGTGACTTGTCTGCACGTGCTAGCTCCCCCATCCCCACCCCTCCCCAACATCGTTCGTCGCGTGGATCAACGGCAATTTTCGCGTCATCCATTTTGTATGAGGCATGCTGGGAAAGGCATTTCTCATTTGTTGGAGGGGGGAACTCATAAGGATGTTGTCTTTCAGGGAGGGGGGAACTCATAAGGATGTTGTCTTTCAGGGAGGGGGGAACTCATAAGGATGTTGTCTTTCAGGGAGGGGGGAACTCATAAGGATGTTGTCTTTCAGGGAGGGGGGAACTCATAAGGATGTTGTCTTTCAGAGAGATTTTTTTTTCTTTAGGGCTCGGATACATGGGGGCGGGGCGCGGAGCCTGGGGGGGGGGGTGGGGGGCACAGTTATAGGCTGTAACCTTTGCCCAAACATGTAACCTTGGCCCAAACATGTAACCTTGGCCCTAACCAACGTTTGTGCACCTGGACCATCTGGGAATTTGTCCCATTCAGGAAGTGGTTATAGCAAACGGCAGCACCATCTTAATCCTAACCAGTGACGTCACGGAGGTGGACAATGCTGACTTTTTACCTGGCTTAGAAGATTCCGTATGCACATTTTAAAATCCTTTACGTTCACATCTAGACAATTGCACCCGCCATCTTGAATGAGAAATGTGTTTTTCCTCCCCAGAACTCTTCAAAGATTTGAGCCAGATGCAGGAGACGTGGCTAGCAGAAGGTGAGTACATGTCAGTCACGTGACTGGACTGACGGTCATGTGATCTTCAGTGGCATCATGTCACCATTGGTCACCACGTGACCCTACCCTGTGATTTAGCTCCTGAGTCCACTCAGCATTAACTTGTACCTGGCTCGAGTTGGGGGGGGGTGTAAAGACATGCTACTAACCATCAGAGCTTCTTCCAGGCATCTCTTCGGAAGAAAGTCTACCGCCCCCCGAACGAAATGAAATTTATATAGAAAATATATACTTTTCACAGTTCCCCCCCCCCCCCCGAAAATTTCAAGTGCCAAACCCCCCCCCCCCCCCCCCGGAGAAAAAAGTCTGGAAGAAACACTGCTAACCATCACATCCAACTTACGCCTCGGTAAAAGATACAAGTAAACTCTACTTCCTCTGTTGTCTTGCCGCACAGGGAATTATCTTTTTATTCTGTGTCCTTGCTTTTTACATCGTTGATTAGCATATTAATTAATTAGCCACATGTAATTAGTTTTGATTCGTTTTTTTTTAAATGTAAACATCCAATCAAAGTAGACCCAATGAGGTTGTAGTGGGAGGGGAGGGCGTTGGGGGAGGGTATTGTGGAGGGTTTTCGTGGGGTGGGGCGGGGAGGAACGATAACACTGAGAGAATTGATCTTGCTGCGCTAATTGTGCTTGAAAAAATGGCTCAGGACAAAATGAGATCGTGTGATTGAGTTGGGAAAACTTTGGGTTGCCTAAAAACTGCTGAATAAATGAGTGGGTCGGCGTCAAACCCCACCCCCAGTCAGGTATCTCCACCCCCACTCCCCCCACCCCACACAAACCCAGCTCTGGCATAGTACGGTATCGTCATCACTCAAAATTAATAGACGCTCATTACAATTCACTAATTAAAACAAATGAACGGACTACGATGGTAGGGGGGGGGGATAACCCCCTATCCTTATTTACATTGGTAAATGTAAATTAGACCCTCCAAGTTGGTCAAGGTTTAGGTCAAGCTGTGTCCGTGTTGGTCAACAAATGTGTCCATCATGCGTCCAGCAACCGTCCATCATGCGTCCAGCAACCGTCCATCATGCGTCCAGCAACCGTCCATCATGCGTCCAGCAACCGTCCGTTATACATAGAGTATGAGCTCTGATCTCCGTTCTATGCTGGGTACCTATTTAAACTGGGGCAGCTCAAAGATATTTTTGTTGAAGGCCAACAATTTTAAACTTGTAGCACATCCGATACAATCTCTGGCACCCACACCCCGGCACCCTCACCCCGGCACCCTCAGCCCGGCACCCACACCCCGGCACCCACACCCCGGCACCCTCACTCCGGCACCCTCACCCCGGCACCCTCACCCCGGCACCCACACCCCGGCACCCACACCCACACTCCGGCACCCTCACCCCGGCACCCTCACCCCGGCACCCACACCCCGGCACCCACACCCCGGCACCCTCACCCACACCCCGGCACCCACACCCCGGCACCCACACCCCGGCACCCACACCCCGGCACCCTCACCCCGGCACCCTCACCCCGGCACCCTCACCCCGGCACCCTCACCCCGGCACCCACACCCCGGCACCCTCACCCCGGCACCCACACCCCGGCACCCTCACCCCGGCACCCACACCCCGGCACCCTCACCCTCACCCCGGCACCCACACCCCCACCCCGGCACCCACACCCCGGCACCCTCACCCAGGCACCCTCACCCCGGCACCCACACCCCGGCACCCTCACCCCGGCACCCACACCCCGGCACCCACACCCAGGCACCCTCACCCCGGCACCCTCACTCCAGCACCCACACCCCGGCACCCACACCCCGGCACCCACACCCAGGCACCCTCACCCCGGCACCCACACCCCGGCACCCTCACCCCGGCAGTAATCAATTCGTCACCCTCCCAGCCCCACCCCCTCATCATACCCCGTGCAGTGGAAGAAAACATTTTGCCATGAATGGGGGACTTACGGCGGGCTGTCATCCCAACATCCCTGGGGCTGACATCTTTCTTCTAGAATATTCTCTGGTCATCTTGTGGGGACACGTCAGCTGGCGGCTCATTAAAATATCTTTGAAGTCCAGCAACGGTCAGCGCTTCGTTAGGCAAGGGGGGGGGGCTTAAATTATGGGGGGTGGGGGCTTAAATTATGAAATTTGGGGGGGGGGGGCTGGGCTTAAATTATGGGGGGTGGGGGCTTAAATTATTGGGGGGGGGGGGGTAAAAATTATGGAATTGGGGGAGGCGGCTAAGTTATGGAAAGGGGGGGGGGGGGCGGGGGGGGTGTACTGTCGAAACAATTAGTGACAAAATTAGAAAATGATAAAAAGGCTCCCAGCAAACAATATCGGACTAAAGGTTCTACTGAAATTGACTCCAGACAAAACGGTTCCCTACAAAATAGTTTCCCACAAAACGACTGGCACCCCAAGACAAAAAAATGCTTTCAAATATCGTGGCAGCTGGGTACGATTGTCTTCAGGAGACGGGCGGGGAAACAACAAAATACGTCACGACATGACACGACACATACAACTTGACACAAGATGGTACAACACAATCCGATTCAATATCATACTTCTAGCTAGCCAGTCATTAACCCATACATCTAACTAACCAGTCATTAACCCTTACATCTAACTAACCAGTCATCAACCCACGCATCTAGCTAGCCAGTCATTAACCCTTACATCTAACAAACCAGTCATTAACCCTAGCTGAGCCACTAATGGAGGAGAAGAACGGAAAACATTTGACTTCTGCAATGTTTCCCCGACACCCGCCCCCAAATTTGTGGCCAATGTTAATCCGCCTCGCGCTGTTTGTCCGTACGGTGTTAGCTCGATTTAGCCGCCAGAGCAAACACGCCCGGGGGTAGGGCTGGCCGCAGGGGCCGCCGAGAGCAAACCCCCAGACCACGAGTGCCGCCAAAAACAAACACGTGACTCCCGCGAGCACACGACAAGACCATCGGCGCGCCAGAAGTGTTTGTGGCCGGAAGTTTGTCAACAACCTGCAGCAACCTGCAGCAACCTGCAGCAACCTGTGGCAGGTCAGCTACTACCAACGAGCAGTGAAGTGTTTTAAGAGAGCAAACAGCCCAGGTGTAAATACGTTTGTTTGTGACGTCCACACTGTGACGTCATCCAATCGCCACCAAGCTATTTTTAACTCGGATCTCTTCAAGTTTTCACAAGGGTTAAGGCTAGGGTTAAAATATAATCATAAGCTTTTAACTGCCCCGAACTAAACTTGATTAATAAAAGTTTCGGCCGCTCAAGAGATCTCTCACATATTGGAGCCATCTCTTGTGATCTGCCATTTGTAGACACCAGTGAAAACCAGTCGTCTGTGGCCCACACTTCACCACACAGGCTGTTTAGTGGCTTGAGATTAGCTCTATTACCTCCCTTTTTAAACTAAATGTATACATTTTAAATTAATTTTTAATTGATTAATGATTCATTGTGTATCTTGTTAGATAAAAAATAAATTAACCCCTTGTATTATCATCGAAAAAGCACATACCTGGAAAGTTTAAACAAAATCGGTGAATTAGAAGTGGGTAAAAATTGAGATACAAGATTTGCTACAAGCCATAAACAGACATTGTCGTTAATTGTCAAGTAAATAAAAGCCTGCGTAGCGCATTATAAATGTTTGTATATCATTTTATTCTCTAGTTGTTCACCATACACGCCTCACATTGTATTTAAATACCGCCTTCTTTATCTACACGAAACATATCCGTATACTAGTCATTAACTGACGGGTCATTAATTTAACAATTCCGGGTCTTGTATTAGCGTCTCTTAGCTCACAGATGAGCAGGGCGGGTCAGTATATCTCTTAGCTCACAGATGAGCAGGTTCAGTAGCCTATATCTCTCAAACATTTGGTCGAGCTACACTATTTTTAAAAGACGGGAGATTAAACGAAACAAAACATTAGAAAAATTCTTGGGTCATAGGGCATCACCCTCCTCCCTCCCTGCCCCCGTGGGGTGGTGGGCCCGTGGGGTGGGGGGCCCGTGGTGACCGCCAACCGTTCGGCGGGAAGTCACACCCAACCGCCAATCGTAAGAATGTTTTGACACTGGCGATCGTCTGCTCCTGCTACTCGAGTGTGTGTTCAATGTGTCCCCGTCACGTGATTCAGGTGCCTTCCATTCTTGATGCAAGCCGCCATCTTTAACTTCTCACCTGCCCCCCCCCCCCGCCCCTTCTACTGGCGTGTTAGGTCAGGGGTTTGGGGGGGGGGGGGGGGGGGAGCATGTTAGAGTAGGGATTAGAAGCTGGGGTCATGTTAGGTCAGGGGTTAGAGTTGAGGGGCTAACGGTTTTCAGCGAGTAGGTGACGTACAAAGGGTGGCCACTCTGACTTTGGTGGCCCATAGGTCCAGGTGACGTACAAAGGGTGGCCACTCTGACTTTGGTGGCCCATAGGTTCAGGTGACGTACAAAGGGTGGCCACTCTGACTCTGGTGGCCCATAGGTCCAGGTGACGTACAAAGGGTGGCCACTCTGACTTTGGTGGCCCATACGTCCAGGTGACGTACAAAGGGTGGCCACTCTGACTTTGGTGGCCCATACGTCCAGGTGACGTACAAAGGGTGGCCACTCTGACTTTGTTGGCCCATAGGTCCAGGTGACGTACAAAGGGTGGCCACTCTGACTTTGGTGGCCCATAGGTCCAGGTGACGTACAAAGGGTGGCCACTCTGACTTTGGTGGCCCATACGTCCAGGTGACGTACAAAGGGTGGCCACTCTGACTTTGGTGGCCCATAGGTCCAGGTGACGTACAAAGGGTGACGACTCTGACTTTGGTGGCCCATAGTTGGAGATGACGAGCGCCAGTTCTGGTTCTTGAATTCAGTGACAATCTAGAGGTGCTAAACCTTGAGAAACTTGTGGGTGGATGGGGTGGGGGTGGGGGGGGGGTGCGGGGGTCATTTAAAGGAGTGGGTGGGGTGGAGGGGGGGGGGAGTCATTTAAAGGAGTGGGTGTGCAGAAGGAGGGATAGTGGCTAGCAAGTTACGAGAAGTCTGTTGTGACGTCATGTTTTTGTCGTGCAAGAAACCCCCCCCCCCATCTCTGCTCACACTAACATAGGCTAACAAACATACACGCAATTGATACTAGCAAATAAGGACTATGCCGCCTCTTTCAGTACAAAGATTTAAGACATTTTAGTACAAACATTTTAGTACAAACATTTTAGTACAAACATTTTAGTACAAACATTTTAGTACAAACATTTTAGTACAAATATTCCAGTACAAACATTTTCGTACAAACATTATAGTACAAACATTTTAGTACAAACATTATAGTACAAACATTTTAGTACAAACATTTTAGTACACATATTTTAGTACAAACATTTTAGTACAAACATTATAGTACAAACATTTTAGTACAAACATTTTAGTACAAACATTTTAATACAAACATTTTAGTACAAACATTTTAGTACAAACATTTTAGTACACATATTTTAGTACAAACATTTTAGTACAAACATTATAGTACAAACATTTTAGTACAAACATTTTAGTACAAACATTTTAATACAAACATTTTAGTACAAACATTTTAGTACAAACATTTTAGTACAAACATTATAGTACAAACATTTTAGTACAAACATTTTAGTACAAACAACTGACAACATGTCACTGGTACCCAACCAATGGACGGCGGAGACATTTGTTTTATACCCAGTCGGCTGTCAGGGCAGGTCAAGTAGAGTGCACATGTTTCTGTGAGTTCGGCAGATGAACGGATAATGTGGTCAGTCCTAAGAGCAGCCGTCTACCTTCGAGACTTTCCAGATAGCATTAGCAACTCCTCCCCCCCCCCACACACACACATCTAACTCGCACACCTCCCCAGCCCCACTCACACCTCTCCTACACACCCCACACATACATACTCATTGAATAGATTTAAATCTACATCTGTCTCTGATGAACAGTCTGGCTAATTAATTTAAAAAAAAAAATGACCAAATCCTTAAAAATTCCCCTCCCCACATGACCCCCCTCCCACACATGACCCCTCTCCCCCACATGACCCCGCTCCCCCACATGACCCCCCCTCCCACACATGACCCTCACAATGACCCCTCACAATGACCCCTCACAATGACCCCTTACAATGACCCCTGTGTTTTGTTTCAGCCCACTGCGCATCTGACCAGGACAAGTTTAGCGGGGCTGAAGGTCAGGGCCGCTCAGGTAGGTTGCGTTTGTTTGTTTGTCTGTTTGCTTGTTTGTTTGTTTGTTTGTTTGTTTGTTTGCTTGTTTGCTTGTTTGTTTGTTTGCTTGTTTGTTTGTTTGTTTGTTTGTTCGTTTGTTTGTTTGTTTGTTTGTTTGCTTGTTTGTTTGTTTGCTTGTTAGCTTGTTTGTTTGTTTGCTTGTTTGCTTTATTGTTTGTTACACCTGGCCACGACACATTTAAAAAGTTCACACACTAAACGATTACACACCGATTGATTACACACTAAACGATTACACCAATTACATTGACTCAATCAGTTTGTGTCGTTGTCCACAGACTATTAAAATAAATAGCGTGACCGTACATACATGATAGTCGGTCAGAGGGTAAGGGGGGGGGGGGGTGGGGGGGTGGGGGGTGTAGTCACTTGAACATGACGTCAGTTTTTTAGTTGGGTCTGGTAGAGTGTGGTTTGATGTGGGGTGATGTGGTGTGTGGTTTGATGTGGGGTGATGTGGTGTGGTTTGATGTGGGGTGTGGTTTGATGTGGGGTGTGGTTTGATGTGGGGTGATGTGGGGTGATGTGGTGTGTGGTTTGATGTGGGGTGATGTGGTGTGTGGTTTGATGTGGGGTGATGTGGTGTGTGGTTTGATGTGGGGTGATGTGGTGTGTGGTTTGATGTGGGGTGATGTGGTGTGGTTTGATGTGGGGTGATGTGGTGTGTGGTTTGATGTGGGGTGATGTGGTGTGTGGTTTGATGTGGGGTGATGTGGTGTGGTTTGATGTGGGGTGTGGTTTGATGTGGGGTGATGTGAGGTGTGGTGTGGTTTGATGTGGGGTGTGGTTTGATGTGGGGTGTGGTTTGATGTGGGGTGATGCGGTGTGTGGTTTGATGTGGGGTGATGTGGTGTGTGGTTTGATGTGGGGTGTGGTGTGGTTTGATGTGGGGTGTGGTTTGATGTGGGGTGATGTGGGGTGTGGTTTGATGTGGTGTGTGGTTTGATGTGGGGTGATGTGGTGTGTGGTTTGATGTGGGGTGATGTGGGGTGTGGTTTGATGTGGTTGTTTTTAGATTCCCGGTACTGTGTGATCCTTCTCTCCTGGGACTAGACATTTCTCAGACTTCGCCCCCCCCCCACCACACACGGTGAGATTGTCCTATTGTCAACAGCCAGGTGATGCCCTGATTGGCTGTAGACAATTACTGGCAAAAAGCCGAGGTGTCCAAGTGAAGAAAAATGAACGTCATATATCCCCCACCCCTTGATACCCCACCCCCAGATATTCTTCCCCTCCCACGACTCTAATCCACCGTCAGCTCACTCTCCTGATTGCCTCTGTGGGGAGCATTGTTTGTGGGCTGGGGTGGTGGGGACGGGGTGGGTGACTTTGGTTTGTTTGGTACATTTTCTAAATTAAAAATGTTCCCACTAAATTGTCCAAAAGACATCCATTTGAATATCAAAACCGCAGCGATATAATACCTGTCTAACGTGGTGGGGGAGGTTGTGTGTGGGGGGGGGGGGGGTGGTGGGGGGGGGGGGCTGGAGATTTTAGCTTCCATAAAATAATTTCAATCGCCTCTATCAGGCGCCCCTGTCCTCAGACGCCCCAGTATGTTATGCGCCCTTAGACGCCCCAGTCTTATGAGACGCCCCTGACCGTCTATTTTGTCGCGTCCAACCCCTCCCCCAAAAATTAATCTCGTCTCACCCCCACCCCCACCTCTAATCAAGCCATGCAGATACAAGTGCCAGACCGTATGTCCCGCCCCTGTCCCGTCCATTTTAACACCCCCCCCCCCCTCGGGCTAGCTGCCCGCGCTAACAGGCCGTCAGCCTGAGTGAGTGATTATGAACAATAGGCTGGGGTTATGAACAGCTAAACAATAGAACTAAAAGGATTACACGGGGGAGGGGGGGGTATAAAACATATTACCATCACGGTAACAATTGCGGCCGGGAGTTTAGGGTCGGGGTAGGGTTTGTTGCGGTAGCTCGGTTTATGGGTTGTGGTTTGCGTTTACTAAACTTTACCAAAATGTACCAAACAGTACCAATTTTTAAACTGACGAAGTCGCTAGCATACAAATTGTGGACCATTGTCCGTGTGGCCGACCCTTAAGGCGGGGGCGGGGTCGAAGATTTATACCAGTATTACCAGCGCATGTTAAGTTGGTCAGCTGACCTTTTCAATATATGAGTAGCGCCGTAATACGGTATAGGAGTGCGGATATATATAATATATATATATATATATATATATATATATATATATATATATATATATATATATATATATATATATATATATATATATAATATGTAAATAAATAAATATATATATAATATAACAGTGCTGGTAGTGTGTCAGTCCTACTGTCATCGTTATAGATTTTTGAACCATAAAAGTAAACACACATCATGTGCTTTTTACTTGCATCGAAGTATCTTATTATGTAATGTATATTGTTGGGTAGGCTTCGTTTGTATAACAACTAAAAATGTGTGTATTGTTTGGGCTGTTTTTACTTTTCGCATAACGTCAATAAAATATTAAATAAACGCATATTGCTAAAACATTTTAAATGACTCAATATCAAATAATATTTTCGCTTACATTGCTAGAAAAATTACATACATGTTAATATCAGTAAGGTAAAAAAAAATCCAACTAATTAATTAGTCTTTTATAATTTTCCCTGGGGAGGTAATTTAAAAAAAATTCAACTCACGCTAATAAAAAATGTGAGTGTAAATTCTGCATACGTTCTAGGGGACATTATTGTTAGAATATTATAATTAGCAAGGATTGATAAAATGCAACATGTTAGGTAAAATACGGATATTTTAAATTCTGCCTTTTGTTTATTTTATGGATACGTTGGGGTATTATAGTCGTTACTTAGTTGAATCAGGCGGTTCCGCCTGAGCTCCGGCCAGGTGCGATTTGGCGCCCCCGACTAGACTGTGAACACTAGGTGTTTATGTTTGCATTTAAGTTGTGTTTATGTTTTGCGTTTTCTTTCGTGTTTTTTGCGATTGCATTTGTGTTTGCGTGTTGCGTTTGTGTTTTTGTTTGTTTGTATTTTTGCGTTAGCATTTGCATTGTGATTCGCAGCTAGTATATATATATATATATATATATATATATATATATATATATATATATATATATATATATATATATATATATATATATATATATATATATATATATATTTGACAATATACTTCCTGAGCCTCGAATGACGTAATTATATGACCTTTTGATTTTTTTTTTTTTTGGGCTTTACGTGATCAATTAAATTATCGAATTGAGAAAATGTGTGAATCTTTATTTTTTTCAATTTAATATTTCAATTAATTACCCGGCTCATCATTGCCGGCTTCCCACCAATGCCGGCTTCCCACCAATGCCGGCTTCCCACCATGCCGGTCCCTCATCAATGAAAAGTCTAACAGCTTACGGGGTGACAGCACGTGCAGGCTCACCTTTGTGCGCGCGCCATTCAGCCACACACCGCTAATTACAATAATTGAAACAGGTGAGAAAGGTCCTGAGTCAAAATCTGAAGGCGTCAGGAGTGGGTGGGGTGGGGGAGTGGAGGGGGGTGTGGGGAGTGGGGTTGGGAGGTTATAGGTGTCAGTAGCAAGGGCGGCGGAAGGCATCAGTAGCGGGGGGATAAAGTTGTGTGAGTGAGATGTAAAGTTGTGTGAGTGAGATGTAAAGTTGTGTGAGTGTGTGAGTGAGATGTAAAGTTGTGTGAGTGTGTGAGTGAGATGTAAAGTTGTGTGAGTGAGATGTAAAGTTGTGTGAGTGAGATGTAAAGTTGTGTGAGTGAGATGTAAAGTTGTGTGAGTGAGATGTAAAGTTGTGTGAGTGAGATGTAAAGTTGTGTGAGTGAGATGTAAAGTTGTGTGAGTGTGTGAGTGAGATGTAAAGTTGAGTGAGTGAGATGTAAATTGTGTGAGTGAGATGTAAAGTTGTGTGAGTGAGATGTAAAGTTGTGTGAGTGAGATGTAAAGTTGTGTGAGTGAGATGTAAAGTTGTGTGAGTGTGTGAGTGAGATGTAAAGTTGTGTGAGTGTGTGAGTGAGATGTAAAGTTGTGTGAGTGAGATGTAAAGTTGTGTGAGTGAGATGTAAAGTTGAGTGAGTGAGATGTAAAGTTGTGTGAGTGAGATGTAAAGTTGTGTGAGTGAGATGTAAAGTTGTGTGAGTGAGATGTAAAGTTGTGTGAGTGAGATGTAAAGTTGTGTGAGTGAGATGTAAAGTTGTGTGAGTGAGATGTAAAGTTGTGTGAGTGATCCTAGTGATAGTCCGCGAGAGGTATGCCTATTTCCTCCGATCGTGAGTGGTGGGGGGGGGGAGGAGGTGTCATTGCGGGAAAGTATAGGAGGGGTCTCTGTCACCCAGGGGTCCTTATTAAAATCCCAAATAGGGACTGGAGTGGGTGCCCGCACCTGGGTCTCATGACGTCACGGCGACCCCTCGGGACTAATTAGTTGGATCCTGCGACAGCGACGTGTCTCAGACCATTCGACTTGACGGGGGGGGGGGGGGGGTGAAGGATGGGGCGTCAGGTGATGGAACGGTCCCTATAGGGGTGTCAGCTAATGGTAGACACGCCACACTTGACTTAACGTTGTAGTGGGGTAGGGGTGTAAGCTTATGGTAGACATGTCACACTTGACTTAACGTTGTAGTGGGGTAGGGGTGTAAGCTTATGGTAGACATGTCACACTTGACTTAACGTTGTAGTGGGGTAGGGGTGTAAGCTTATGGTAGACATGTCACACTTTACTTAACGTTGTAGTGGGGTAGGGGTGTAAGCTTATGATAGACACGTCACAATTGACTTAACGTTGTAATGGGTTAGGGGTGTAAGCTTATGGTAGACACGTCACACTATACTTAACGTTGTAGTGGGGTAGGGGTGTAAGCTTATGATAGACACGTCACACTTGACTTAACGTTGTAATGGGTTAGGGGTGTAAGCTTATGGTAGACACGTCACACTATACTTAACGTTGTAGTGGGGTAGGGGTGTAAGCTTATGGTAGACACGTCACACTTTACTTAACGTTGTAGTGGGGTAGGGGTGTAAGCTTATGGTAGACACGTCACACTTGACTTAACGTTGTAGTGGGGACAGGGAAAGAGGATGCTGCTCCCCCCCCCCCAGGGTTAGGCATTGTCAGAAGTGATGCTTTTTTGTGAGATGGTCAGTAGTTTGATGGTCAGTAGTTTGATGGTCAGTAGTTTTATGGTCAGTAGTTTGATGGTCAGCAGTTTGATGGTCAGTAGTTTGATGGTCAGTAGTTTGATGGTCAGCAGTTTGATGGTCAGTAGTTTGATGGTCAGTAGTTTGATGGTCAGTAGTTTGATGGTCAGTAGTTTGATGGTCAGTAGTTTGATGGTCAGTAGTTTGATGGTCAGTAGTTTGATGGTCAGTAGTTTGATGGTCAGTGTTTGATGGTCAGTAGTTTGATGGTCAGTAGTTTGATGGTCAGTAGTTTGATGGTCAGTAGTTTGATGGTCAGTAGTTTGATGGTCAGTAGTTTGATGGTCAGTAGTTTGATGGTCAGTAGTTTGATGGTCAGTAGTTTGATGGTCAGTAGTTTGATGGTCAGTAGTTTGATGGTCAGTAGTTTGATGGTCAGTAGTTTGATGGTCAGTAGTTTGATGGTCAGTAGTTTGATGGTCAGTAGTTTGATGGTCAGTAGTTTGATGGTCAGATGTTTGATGGTCAGTGTTTGATGGTCAGTAGTTTGATGGTCAGTAGTTTGATGGTCAGTAGTTTGATGGTCAGTAGTTTTATGGTGGGGGGGTCTGGGGTCTGATGACGTCAGTCTCGTGTCATCTGGGGGTCTCAGATGACCTTGACTTTTTCAATAGTTAGTGCCAGTCTGGTCACGTGTTCCATAGAGCCTCGACTCACAGGCTTGATTGGTGACCCTGTCCATACTTAGACTGAGGTCACTGACCATACTAGACCCAACTTAGACTGAGGACACTGACCATACTAGACCCAACTTAGACTGAGGACACTGACCATACTAGACCCAACTTAGACTGAGGACACTGACCATACTAGACCCAACTTAGACTGAGGACACTGACCATACTAGACCCAACTTAGACTGAGGTCACTGACCATACTAGACCCAACTTAGACTGAGGACACTGACCATACTAGACCCAACTTAGACTGAGGACACTGACCATACTAGACCCAACTTAGACTGAGGATTGAGGACACTGACCATACTAGACCCAACTTAGACTGAGGACACTGACCATACTAGACCCAACTTAGACTGAGGACACTGACCATACTAGACCCAACTTAGACTGAGGATTGAGGACACTGACCATACTAGACCCAACTTAGACTGAGGACACTGACCATACTAGACCCAACATAGACTGAGTACACTGACCATACTAGACCAACTTAGACTGAGGACACTGACCATACTAGACCCAACTTAGACTGAGGACACTGACCATACTAGACCCAACTTAGACTGAGTACACTGACCATACTAGACCCAACTTAGACTGAGGACACTGACCATACTAGACCCAACTTAGACTGAGGACACTGACCATACTAGACCCAACTTAGACTGAGGACACTGACCATACTAGACCCAACTTAGACTGAGGACACTGACCATACTAGACCCAACTTAGACTGAGGATTGAGTACACTGACCATACTAGACCCAACTTAGACTGAGGACACTGACCATACTAGACCCAACATAGACTGAGTACGCTGACCATACTAGACCAACTTAGACTGAGGACACTGACCATACTAGACCCAACTTAGACTGAGGACACTGACCATACTAGACCCAACTTAGACTGAGGACACTGACCATACTAGACCCAACTTAGACTGAGGACACTGACCATACGAGACCCAACTTAGACTGAGGACACTGACCATACTAGACCCAACTTAGACTGAGGACACTGATCATACGAGACCCAACTTAGACTGAGGACACTGACCATACTAGACCCAACTTAGACTGAGGATTGAGTACACTGACCATACTAGACCCAACTTAGACTGAGTACACTGATCATACGAGACCCAACTTAGACTGAGGACACTGACCATACTAGACCCAACTTAGACTGAGGATTGAGGACACTGACCATACTAGACCCAACTTAGACTGAGGATTGAGGACACTGACCATACTAGACCCAACTTAGACTGAGTACACTGATCATACGAGACCCAACTTAGACTGAGTACACTGATCATACGAGACCCAACTTAGACTGAGTACACTGATCATACGAGACCCAACTTAGACTGAGTACACTGACCATACTAGACCCAACTTAGACTGAGTACACTGACCATACTAGACCCAACTTAGACTGAGGAGACTGACCATACTAGACCCAACTTAGACTGAGGATTGAGTACACTGACCATACTAGACCCAACTTAGACTGAGGATTGAGTACTCTGACCATACTAGACCCAACTTAGACTGAGGAGACTGACCATACTAGACCCAACCAGTGTTTCTTCCAGACTTTTTTCTCCGGGGGGGGGGGGGGGCACTTGAAATCTTCGGGGGGGCGGTAAAAAATTTTCGGGGGGGGCTTCGCCCCCCCGAAGAGATGCCTGGAAGAAACTCTGGACCCAACTTAGACTGAGGATTGAGTACACTGACCATACTAGACGCAACAGAACGGAACCTTTTGCAGATGCACATTTTATATATTGTGGGGGCCAAAGTAAATTGTGATAAAGCACAAAAATAAATAAAACTTTCACACCTAACTTGGTAATGTTGTCTTCAAATGATAATAACGACGATTTAGTCAAAAAAAATGTGAATTTTTTTTAAAAATGTGTTGAAGGACACATCTTGTCAGTCGCGGTTTGGTTTAGAAAACTTATTTAATGAACATTTTGTGAGGTTAATTCACTACATGCGCGAAACTGGTGCGCAGTAGAAATGCGGTCATTGCTAGCAGACGATCGGGTCTGTTGCAGAAGTCTAACAGCTATTTATAGTCATGCACTTTTAGGAACCAGAAATCTAGATTACACTCTCTTTTTATTTGTTATGTTTTTAACATGAGATAAGGTATTATCTTAGTTTAATGAAGTCATTAATAAAGTTATAATTAGTTTTTTATAGTTTAATTAGGTCGTTAGTTTAAGTGGCTTTTGAATGGGCACAGCATGACTAGAAGGTCAGACTAAGCTGACCAATAGAGCACCAAGTGTTTTATAACAGTGTCCCCTCGAGGGCCCTATTATTTTTTTATAAAACCCTCCAATGTACCTCATCTAAACGCTTTAAATTTTTTGACTCTCCTTGAACAACAGACAACAGCCTAATGAAGATGACGTCGTCGGATAAGGGAGTCACGTGCCTTCAATCAGACGGCAGCCCGCAGTGCCGGACGATGGACAAGGGGGCGGCACCCCGCATAGCTAATCACAGCTGTGGGGGGAGCGGCAACCCCGCCGGCAGCAACATGGCCGCTTCCAATATGGCCGCCAACAACATGGCCGCCAACAACATGGCCGCCAACAACAGACTTAACAACGCCATCGCTGCGAGCACCAACACTAGCAGCAGCGCGGGACTTACCAAATACGCCTACCACGAGCCGTGCTTCGACCAGGGCGCCACCCCCTCCCCCTCATCCTCCATCACATCAAACTCCTCTTCGGAGAAAGAAACTTTGAACTCTGACCCCTTTAAGGACAGTCAAGGTTACCACATACACCACCCACACCTCCACGCGCCACACCCACAGCCCACGCTACCACAGCAGCACCATCGGGAGACCGACCACCACCCCCACCACCTCCACCACCTACAGCACCAGCTGCCCGGGACCACGGCTGTAGGGGAACCCTTGTTTCACCACGACGCCAGGTAACACTTTTTAACACAGTTACTGCCCTTGCTTGTCATCTGACTAACGCAGATAGGCTACTTGTCATCTGACTAACGCAGATAGGCTACTTGTCATCTGACTAACGCAGATAGGCTACTTGTCATCTGACTAACGCAGATAGGCTACTTGTCATCTGACTAACGCAGATAGGCTACTTGTCATCTGACTAACGCAGATAGGCTACTTGTCATCTGACTAAAGCAGATAGGCTACTCGTCATCTGACTAACGCAGATAGGCTACTTGTCATCTGACTAACGCAGATAGGCTACTTGTCATCTGACTAACGCAGATAGGCTACTTGTCATCTGACTAACGCAGATAGGCTACTTGTCATCTGACTAACGCAGATAGGCTACTTGTCATCTGACTAACGCAGATAGGCTACTTGTCATCTGACTAACGCAGATAGGCTACTTGTCATCTGGCTAACGCAGATAGGCTACTTGTCATCTGACTAACGCAGATAGGCTACTCGTCATCTGACTAACGCAGATAGGCCACTTGTCTCCCGGCTAACATAGTTACTGGCCTTGATTACACTACATATTAGAGTCATCGTCTTTGGTTTTATACCTTTAAAAATCTTATATTTAACGTAATTAACGGAACCTAAATTATGCTGTCAATCAATTTTAAAATGAACATAAAATTATTTCCTAAGTCCTCTAATCTCAAAACAAAAACCTGTACACCAAATGTCTACAGTGGTCTGGGTACACTGTACACCAAATGTCTACAGTAGTCTGGGTACAAAAACCTGTACACCAAATGTCTTCAGTAGTCTGGGTACAAAAACCTGTACACCAAATGTCTTCAGTAGTCTGGGTACAAAAACCTGTACACCAAATGTCTACAGTAGTCTGGGTACACTGTACACCAAATGTCTTCAGTAGTCTGGGTACACTGTACACCAAATGTCTACAGTGGTCTGGGTACACTGTACACCAAATGTCTACAGTGGTCTGGGTACACTGTACACCAAATGTCTACAGTGGTTTGGGTACACTGTACACCAAATGTCTACAGTAGTCTGGGTACACTGTACACCAAATGTCTACAGTGGTCTGGGTACAAAAACCTGTACACCAAATGTCTACAGTAGTCTGGGTACAAAAACCTGTACACCAAATGTCTACAGTGGTCTGGGTACATGTACACCAAATGTCTACAGTGGTCTGGGTACATGTACACCAAATGTCTACGGTGGTCTGGGTACAAAAACCTGTACACCAAATGTCTACAGTAGTCTGGGTACACTGTACACCAAATGTCTACAGTAGTCTGGGTACACTGTACACCAAATGTCTACAGTGGTCTGGGTACACTGTACACCAAATGTCTACAGTGGTCTGGGTACATGTACAGCAAATGTCTACAGTGGTCTGGGTACATGTACACCAAATGTCTACGGTGGTCTGGGTACAAAAACCTGTACACCAAATGTCTACAGTAGTCTGGGTACACTGTACACCAAATGTCTACAGTAGTCTGGGTACACTGTACACCAAATGTCTACAGTAGTCTGGGTACACTGTACACCAAATGTCTACAGTGGTCTGGGTACACTGTACACCAAATGTCTACAGTAGTCTGGGTACACTGTACACCAAATGTCTACAGTAGTCTGGGTACACTGTACACCAAATGTCTACAGTGGTCTGGGTACACTGTACACCAAATGTCTACAGTAGTCTGGGTACACTGTACACCAAATGTCTACAGTGGTCTGTGTACACTGTACACCAAATGTCTACAGTGGTCTGTGTACACTGTACACCAAATGTCTACAGTGGTCTGGGTACACTGTACACCAAATGTCTACAGTAGTCTGGGTACACTGTACACCAAATGTCTACAGTAGTCTGGGTACACTGTACACCAAATGTCTACAGTGGTCTGTGTACACTGTACACCAAATGTCTACAGTGGTCTGTGTACACTGTACACCAAATGTCTACAGTGGTCTGGGTACACTGTACACCAAATGTCTACAGTAGTCTGGGTACACTGTACACCAAATGTCTACAGTAGTCTGGGTACACTGTACACCAAATGTCTACAGTGGTCTGTGTACAAAAACCTGTACACCAAATGTCTACAGTGGTCTGTGTACAAAAACCTGTACACCAAATGTCTACAGTAGTCTGGGTTGTATGACCATCTTTTATCTCACACTATTCTCTCCGCCTATCTTTTTTGTTTGCCTCCCTCCCCCCTCCCTCCCCCCTCCCTCCCCCCTCCCTCTCTATCTCTGTCACTCGTTGTGGCGTGCAATTAATTGCTGGCCACTCGACCATTAGACCGAACACCTAGACACGGCTTTCTGTCGTCATGGAAACGGGTTGTCTCCCCGCGCGCCCCAGTCATCATTAGTGATCTCCCCTGGATGTTCAACTGGCACCATTGAGAGGCCGGCCAGTTCGATGGCCACGGCCTGCAACAATGGCCGTGTCGCCATTTGTTTTTCTCGGCCATCGCTCGGCCATCGGTGGGCTGGGGTGGCATTGGTTCCAGAGATAAGATCTGTAGTGTCGCAGACGATATCCTAACGGTTGGACAAATACACCAAGCTCGTTGTCTCGACTCAAACACGCGCCAAGTTTTAATCAGCAGACGGTCAGATCTGCTGATCCATTGGCGACGTGGACAAGTTGTAGCCTAGGTGTGAGCAAAGGGAGGACATAATATGGCCTAGATGTGCCCTAGATGTGCCCTAGATATGGCCTAGATATGGCCTAGATGTGGCCTAGATGTGGCCTAGATATAGCCTAGATGTGGCCTAGATGTGGCCTAGATGTGGCCTAGATATAGCCTAGATGTGGCCTAGATAAAGCATAAATGTGCCCTAGATGTGGCCTAGATATGGCCTAGATATAGCCTAGATATAGCCTAGATGTGCCCTAGATGTGGCCTAGATATAGCCTAGATGTGGCCTAGATATAGCCTAGATGTGGCCTAGATATAGCATAAATCTGCACTAGATGTGGCCTAGATATAGCCTAGATGTGGCCTAGATATAGCCTAGATGTGGCCTAGATGTGGCCTAGATATAGCATAAATCTGGCCTAGATGTGGCCTAGATATAGCCTAGATGTGGCCTAGATGTGGCCTAGATATAGCCTAGATGTGGCCTAGATATAGCCTAGATGTGGCCTAGATATAGCATAAATGTGCCCTAGATGTGGCCTAGATATGGCCTAGATATGGCCTAGATGTGGCCTAGATGTGCCCTAGATGTGGCCTAGATATAGCCTAGATGTGCCCTAGATGTGGCCTAGATATAGCCTAGATATGGCCTAGATGTGGCCTAGATATAGCCTAGATATAGCCTAGATGTGCCCTAGATATAGCCTAGATATGGCCTAGATATAGCCTAGATGTGGCCTAGATGTGCCCTAGATGTGGCCTAGATATGGCCTAGATATGGCCTAGATGTGGCCTAGATATAGCATAAATCTGGCCTAGATGTGGCCTAGATATAGCCTAGATGTGGCCTAGATGTGCCTTAGATATAGCCTAGATATAGCCTAGATGTGCCCTAGATATAGCCTAGATATAGCCTAGATGTGGCCTAGATATAGCATAAATGTGCCCTAGATGTGGCCTAGATATGGCCTAGATATAGCCTAGATATAGCCTAGATGTGGCCTAGATGTGGCATAGATGTGGCATAGATGTGGCATAGATATAGCCTAGATATAGCCTAGATGTGGCCTAGATGTGGCATAGATGTGGCATAGATGTGGCATAGATATAGCGCTGATGTTGCCTAAGTGAGGCGTCAAAGTGGCTAAAATGACTTAGATGGTGTCAACTTATGGTTAAATATGGCTAAGATATGATAAGTTTTAGAGATATGAATAGGGTAATTAGCATTATAATTAGACCCTGATAGCCTTTGACGATAATCTCCTACCAAAATGTGTTTGACCAAATGTGAAAAGCTATGCGGCTTTAGTCACAGAGCCAGCGTTGAGGTTTCACTCACCAGCCATCACGGTGACCATCCATCGTGGTGACCAGCCATCGTGGTGACCAGCCATCACGGTGACCAGCCATCTCGGTGACCAGCCATCTCGGTGACCAGCCATCTCGGTGACCAGCCATCTCGGTGACCAGCCATCGTGGTGACCAGCCATCGTGGTGACCAGCCATCGTGGTGACCAGCCATCGTGGTGACCAGCCATCTCGCACATTCTGGCCGTACCCAGAAGAGTTCATACTTGAAAGTTTTAAGCCCCACCCCCGCCTTGCTCATCACGTCCGTCATGTCTGACGTCACACCTTTCAACATGACTGGCACATAACACGCTGGGGTGGGGGGGGGGGCAGCAACAGTCGGCTACTTGACCGGGGGGGGGGGGCAGCAACAGTCGGCTACTTGACCGGGGGGGGGCAGCAACAGTCGGCTACTTGACCACTGTGGGATGTGTTCCTGTCTGTGAGCTTCTCGACTCAAACAACTAGAAAACTAACCCAAGGTCACATCCCATCTAACCCAAGTTCACATCACATCTAACCCAAGGTCACATCCCATCTAACCCAAGGTCACATCTCATCTAACCCAAGGTCACATCTCATCTAACCCAAGGTCACATCTCATCAAACCCTAATAGAACCTTGAACTCTTCCGTTATTTAAAATCAAGTATGACACTAACCGCTGAGCTTAAAACTTTGACCAGAATGGGCCCAGTTGGACTAAACTAAACTAAGCTAAGCTCAGTTGAGCTGAACTGAAAGTGTTTTTTTTTTTACAGGTATCTCCGCCCCCACTCTCAGCCCAACCTCAGCTACCTCAGCCCCGCCCCCCATTTCCAGCAACACGAAGCGCCCCCTCAAGCCCACGCCCAGCCCGTCAACCACGCCCACAACCCCTACATCGTCTCTCCCCTGCTCAAACCCCCAGACCAGGGGTTCGCCATGGCAGCTACAGCCAGACATCATGGCTACCCTACAGCCAGGGGGAATGACGTCAGCGTCAAGCAGGAGCCACGTGACATGGCCTATGATGCAACTTCCTGTTGTGGTAAGGTTTTTCTCTCTTAGAATTGTCTCATTTATAAGGTCCTGCGCACATCGTGTGAACAGAAACATCCGCACGCCGTGTGAACACAGAAACATCCGCCAACCATTTTTGTGTGTGGATGTTTCTGTTCACACTACATGACATAAATTCCAGGCTACCTTGAAATGACAAAACAAGACACTACATGACATAAATACCAGGCTACCTTGAAATGACATATCAAGACACTACATGACATAAATTCCAGGCTACCTTGAAATGACATAACAAGACACTACATTACATAAATACCAGGCTACCTTGAAACGACATAACAAGACACTACATGACATAAATACCAGGCTACCTTGAAATGACATAACAAGACACTACATGACATAAATACCAGGCTACCTTGAAATGACATAACAAGACACTACATGACATAAATACCAGGCTACCTTGAAATGACATAACAAGACACTACATGACATAAATACCAGGCTACCTTGAAATGACATATCAAGACACTACATGACATAAATTCCAGGCTACCTTGAAATGACATAACAAGACACTACATGACATAAATACCAGGCTACCTTGAAATGACATAACAAGACACTACATGACATAAATACCAGGCTACCTTGAAATGACATATCAAGACACTACATGACATAAATTCCAGGCTACCTTGAAATGACATAACAAGACACTACATGACATAAATACCAGGCTACCTTGAAATGACATAACAAGACACTACATGACATAAATACCAGGCTACCTTGAAATGACATAACAAGACACTACATGACATAAATACCAGGCTACCTTGAAATGACATAACAAGACACTACATGACATAAATACCAGGCTACCTTGAAATGACATAACAAGACACTACATGACATAAATACCAGGCTACCTTGAAATGACATAACAAGACACTACATGACATAAATACCAGGCTACCTTGAAATGACATAACAAGACACTACATGACATAAATACCAGGCTACCTTGAAATGACATAACAAGACACTACATGACATAAATACCAGGCTACCTTGAAATGACATATCAAGACACTACATGACATAAATTCCAGGCTACCTTGAAATGACATAACAAGACACTACATGACATAAATACCAGGCTACCTTGAAATGACATAACAAGACACTACATGACATAAATACCAGGCTACCTTGAAATGACATAACAAGACACTACATGACATAAATACCAGGCTACCTTGAAATGACATAACAAGACACTACATGACATAAATACCAGGCTACCTTGAAATGACATAACAAGACACTACATGACATAAATACCAGGCTACCTTGAAATGACATAACAAGACACTACATGACATAAATACCAGGCTACCTTGAAATGACATAACAAGACACTACATGACATAAATACCAGGCTACCTTGAAATGACATAACAAGACACTACATGACATAAATTCCAGGCTACCTTGAAATGACATAACAAGACACTACATGACATAAATACCAGGCTACCTTGAAATGACATAACAAGACACTACATGACATAAATGACAGGCAGACATCCATGACAAGAAGAAACAGATAGAAGAGCGGCAGATCTTCGTGTCTCTGACAGAGTGGTCAGAAAAACATGGACTGTGTGACGTCAGGCTATTTTACGTTTTAACACAACCGACACTTTCAGACAGCCGACACATTCAGACAGCCGACACACTCAGACAGCCGACACATTCAGACAGCCGACACATTCAGACAGCCGACACATTCAGACAGCCGACACATTCAGACAGCCGACACATTCAGACAGCCGACACATTCAGACAGCCGACACACTCAGACAGCCGACTCATTCAGACAGCCGACACATTCAGACAGCCAATCAACCCCCATTTCATGCCCCCACAACCCACACAACCACGTGATTCCCGCTATTGTTGGCCTGGTCTGTCCGGCTTTTGTCCCAGAATTCGGGAGACGTTCTTGGGGTCAGCACTCAAGGTCAGCACGTGCGGTAAGAAATACCCGGCTTAACCTTTGAACTCTGCACTGTGCCTTTTTTAAACTGGTAGCTTAAAATTGTAGCAGGCCTTGACTGTCTGTCAGGCAATCATCGCGGGGCGGATGACAATCATGAATGTTTGAAATTGGAATTCGACAATCATGAATGTTTGGAATTGGAATTCGACAATCATGAATGTTTGGAATTGGAATTCGACAATCATGAATGTTTGGAATTGGATTTCGACAATCATGAATGTTTGGAATTGGAATTCGACAATCATGAATGTTTGGAATTGGAATTTGACAATCATGAATGTTTGGAATTGGAATTTGACAATCTTGAATGTTTGGAATTGGAATTTAACAATCTTGAATCCAAGATTGTTGGTAAAATGTGTGAGCAAAAAAGCAGACAATCATGATTGTATTGGGTGCGCGTGAAATCACAGATGCTGTCAACGTGACAATCATGAATGAAATGTTTTTGGATGACGTCTTTACTCGACAGTGTAGGTGGTGTTTTGACAGTGACAGTTTAATGTCAATGACAAAATGACAATGGAAGTGTCACAGCGTGATATTGTGACAGTGACAGTTAGACTACTACAGACCACTGAACATGTATTGTAGGCGTACACCAGGTATGATGGTCTTAAAGCTGACAGCCCCCCCCCCCCCCACACACACACCTTGCTTCCCTCACCCCGCGGCCCCCCACACAGCCAGCAGACGTGGACCAGCCTCCCAGCAGACGCCAGCTCCCGCCCGTCAAGAGCTGCCACAAATCGATGAGCTGGCCCCGCCCCTTCCTGTCAGTTTGTTGTTTCAGTTAGCCAATCAACATCAGAACCTGCTCTAGTACACGGGACATACACTGTGTTGTGGTCACGTGAACATAGTCTACCTGACTGTCTACACATTAGCCTATAGTCCACCTGACTGTCTACACATTAGCCTATAGTCCACCTGACTGTCTACACATTAGTCTATAGTCCACCTGACTGTCTACACATTAGCCTATAGTCTACCTGCAACTGTCTATACATTAGCCTATAGTCTACCTGCAACTGTCTACACAGTAGCCTATAGTCTACCTGCAACTGCCTAATACAGTCGCTCAGTTCCCGAATTGGCCATTTTTTACATTGACCATGGCGTGTGGCCAATGTCCGATGTGCTGGAGATTGTCGGGGTGGGGGTCTATTTTATTTCTTGGGCGGCTCTGGCACAGCCGGTCCACCCCAGATAATGTCAGCCCACCCTCAGCCCACCCGGGCACCAAAAGACCACGGGCACCAAAAGACCACGGGCACTAAAAGACCACAATATGACGGGCACCAAAAGACCACAATATGACGGGCACCAAAAGACCACAATATGACGGGCACCAAAAGACCACGGGCACCAAAAGACCACGGGCACTAAAAGACCACAATATGACGGGCACCAAAAGACCACAATATGACGGGCACCAAAAGACCACAATATGACGGGCACCAAAAGACCACAAGATGACGGGCACCAAAAGACCACAATATGACGGGCACCAAAAGACCACAATATGACGGGCACCAAAAGACCACGGGCACCAAAAGACCACGGGCACTAAAAGACCACAATATGACGGGCACCAAAAGACCACAATATGACGGGCACCAAAAGACCACAATATGACGGGCACCAAAAGACCACAAGATGACGGGCACCAAAAGACCACAATATGACGGGCACCAAAAGACCACAATATGACGGGCACCAAAAGACCACAAGATGACGGGCACCAAAAGACCACAATATGACGGGCACCAAAAGACCACAAGATGACGGGCACCAAAAGACCACAAGATGACGGGCACCAAAAGACCACAAGATGACGGGCACCAAAAGACCACAAGATGACGGGCACCAAAAGACCACAAGATGACGGGCACCAAAAGACCACAAGATGACGGGCACCAAAAGACCACAAGATGACGGGCACCAAAAGACCACAAGATGACGGGCACCAAAAGACCACAATATGACGGGCACCAAAAGACCACAAGATGACGGGCACCAAAAGACCACAATATGACGGGCACCAAAAGACCACAATATGACGGGCACCAGTGACAGAGCTGCCACTCAAAGGGAGAGAACAACAAGCGCTAAGTCTAGCAGCAGACGACCTAATCAAATTATCTTGTCCCATGATCCCAGTGGAGGCGGCGGATTAGATGGATTAGGATAATCCCTGAGGCAAACAAGGGATGAGCCGCCACAGAGAATGGATGCCAATCCACCGGGTGGTGGAATAAATGTAGGATTATGGGGCTGATAGAGGGCCACAATCATATGGGGCTGATAGAGGGCCACAATCATATGGGGCTGATAGAGGGCCACAATCATATGGGGCTGATAGACACAATCATATGGGGCTGATAGAGGGACATATATTCTACCCCCACAATGCAACACCCCCCCCCCCCCACCCCACCACAGCCACTAACCGTATAACCCCCCCCCCCCACCCCACCACAGCCACTAACCTTATAACCCCCCCCCCCACCACAGCCACTAACAGTATAACCCCCCACCCCACCCACTAACCTTATAACCCCCCCCCCCCACCCCACCACAGCCACTAACCTTATAACCCCCCCACCCCACCACAGCCACTAACCTTATAACCCCCCCTCCCACCACCACAGCCACTAACCTTATAACCCCCCCCCCCACCACAGCCACTAACCGTAACCCCCCCCCCCCACCACAGCCACTAACCTTATAACCCCCCACCCCACCCCACCACAGCCACTAACCTTATAACCCCACCCCCCACCCCACCACAGCCACTAACCTTATAACCCCACCCCCCCCCCCCCCCCCCACCACAGCCACTAACCTTATAACCCCACCCCCCACCCCACCACAGCCACTAACCTTATAACCCCACCCCCCCCCCCCACCACAGCCACTAACCTTATAACCCCACCCCCCCCCCCCACCACAGCCACTAACCTTATAACCCCCCACCCCCCCCCCTACTCCACAGAAACAACGAGAACTGCCGCCATATTTCCCCGACACGACACCAGTGGTCAGCCGAGTCCACACGAAGGTCAGTGCAAGCTGCTTGTAGTTGCTCATTGGTCATCTCTCATATCAGTCATGTCTATTTCAGTCATGCATTCTATTTCAACCATGTCCTCTATTTCAGCCATGTCCTCTATTTCATTCATGTCCTCTATTTCAGTCATATCCTCTGTTTCAGTCATGTCCTCTCATATAAGTCATGTCCTCTATTTCGGGCATGTCCTCTCAGTCATGTCCTCTATTTCAGTCATGTCCTCTATTTCAGTCATGTCCTCTCAGTCATGTCCTCTATTTCAGTCATGTCCTCTCAGTCATGTCCTCTATTTCAGTCATGTCCTCTATTTGAGTCATGTACTCTATTTGAGTCATGTCCTCTATTTCAGTCATGTCCTCTATTTCAGCCATGTCCTCTATTTCAGTCATGTCCTCTATTTCATTCATGTCCTCTATTTCAGTCATGTCCTCTAATTCAGTCATGTCCTCTATTTCAGTCATGTCCTCTATTTCAGTCATGTCCTCTATTTCAGTCATGTCCTCTATTTCAGTCATGTCCTACCCTTACGAACCCAGCGTCAGATATTTCTACCCAGACGACTCGGCCTACATCTCTCACTTCCGTGACAAACATAAAGGTAGGTTGTCACGTGACTATTTCCACGGGGGGGGGTGTGGCAAGTGGGTGAGACAGGTCTTGGTGACACAACTAGATGATGGTGACACCACTGGACAGATCACCAAATGACGTCACTATTATACAAATACACACTTTAACACATTTGATCCACAATCATAATCCATAGAAAGCCACAATCATTATTCATACAATCCACTATCTTGGACAATACAATCCGCACAACCATTACATAACAAAGCATAGGATCTAAACAGAAAGCCGACACGGTACAAAGGCTGTCATTGACGCTAAACGTCAACAACACACAATATGGACGGACTCAGAAGTTGATCAAGGTATTAAAGGTCTACGTCAAAAAAACATATGCGAAACTCTTTTAGAATACATTTTTCTACCGGGTATTAAACTAAATAAGTAAAAATAAAAGTGGAGATGATGTTTAAAATTGTCGTATAGTATTTTTACGTGTCATTATGAACCATAATGCTTTTAAAGTTTATAAATATGTTACTAAAAAAACAACACCCACCTTAATATACACAATTTTACAATGAAATCCAATTATTTCTTAGAAGATTTTTGTGACTTTTTTCCTAGCAAAACTATGACTTTTTTTCGGTATTTTTTTACTGTGACGTCTTTTCCGCTCACCGGTAACATCCCCCCCTCACTGCACATAAATCCCCTGGACAGAATCCCCCCCCCCTTTATATGGAAATTCTAATGATAACCAGAGCCAAATGAAGATATAAACAACACGTAAGGTTGTGTAACTTATTGAATGAATATAAACACGAGTCACGTGACTGGACTAGGCCAGTTATATGAACAGAAGCAGTCACGTGAGGATTTGTTTTATTGGATTTGGTGCCGTGCCGTCAGGTAGGATGTTTTTAGTGGCGAGTTAGGTCTACCACACGCTATTAGAGGTGGACAATATATAAATATTATATTAATATTAAATATAAGCAATGTAAATTTGGTTGCAAAAATATAAACGCCTTAGCGTTTTTAAGAGTACCGAAAAATTCATTCAAAATGGCGGACTTTATTTGGAGTTTCCATAACAACCGAAATTGTTTTCAAACCCCTTTTTGCTATTAAATACTTACTTTCATGTGACAAACATGGTAAAAGTAATCTAAAGGCTTTAGATCTTTTGTAAAAAATAGAAGTGAAAAAAAGCCGCGCATCCCCTTAACAAAACGTTAGCTGCCATTATATGTGACGTTAGCTGCCATTATATGTGACGTTAGCTGCCATTATATGTGACGTTAGCTGCCATTATATGTGACGTTAGCTGCCATTATATGTGACGTTAGCTGCCATTATATGTGACGTTAGCTGCCATTATATGTGACGTTAGCTGCCATTATATGTGACGTTAGTTGCCATTATATGTGACGTTAGCTGCCATTATATGTGACGTTAGTTGCCATTATATGTGACGTTAGCTGCCATTATATGTGACGTTAGCTGCCATTATATGTGACGTTAGCTGCCATTATATGTGACGTTAGCTGCCATTATATGTGACGTTAGCTGCCATTATATGTGACGTTAGCTGCCATTATATGTGACGTTAGCTGCCATTATATGTGACGTTAGCTGCCATTATATGTGACGTTAGCTGCCATTATATGTGACGTTAGCTGCCATTATATGTGACGTTAGCTGCCATTATATGTGACGTTAGCTGCCATTATATGTGACGTTAGCTGCCATTATATGTGTGTCAGGGTTTAGAGAGGTCATGGAGGTCAAAGGATCACAATACACCCCAGAGGTCATCATGTATCGACACCCCTGGCCACTCTGTTAAATGCTTGTCATTTCTTCCCTCACCACACCCCCCCCCCCCACCTGTACCTGGTTATCACTGAAATCTTCTATGTTTTTATCTTAAATTTATTAATTAACAAAATTCAGGGTCGGACAAGAATTGAACCCAAAGATTTCATCATTTCACTCTCAGACCCATCGTCTACGTTATCTTGAGCTCTAGCAGTAGACTTAGATAGGTGCGTGAAATCTTTTATGCTAACTGTTCATTCAGCTGATGAAAGCCAATACGCTTATCCCCCTTGCGAATTCCAGAGAACTCATTTTAAAAGCTTCCTCAAATATTGATCACAATTATTTGGCAATTCAAGGAAGAAACTTTTAAACAGTCACCCATCGTTTCTGGCCTCAGGATACTAGGCCACATAGCATTAGGCCACATGACATTAGGCCACAGACATTAGGCCACGCTCGAAACTTTCCTACTGTGGATGTGAGAAGCACCAAGACGCCTTACCTCCCTGCATGCGTTTTGTTTTGTTACGTCCCCTGTGTGCTCGGCTGTAATTTATCTGTCACCTCGCGCGGGGGGGGGGGGGGGGGGGGGGGGGGGGGACTGCGGGATATCGGGTTGTCTCCCCTCTCCACAATTATCAATAATGCAGGGGACATAATCAACAAAAGACACAAGATTTCTCATGACATTTTTTTATCATCCCAAGAACTTCGTTTTGTGCCGCTTCATTCTAGTTCTAGACAGCTCTATATGGTCACTTCATGAACCCAGTGTCACCACTTCATGAACCCAGTGTCACCACTTCATGAACCCAGTGTCACCACTTCATGAACCCAGCGTCACCACTTCATGAACGCAGTGTCACCACTTCATGAACACAGTGTCACCACTTCATGAACCCAGCGTCACCACTTCATGAACCAAGTGTCACCACTTCATGAACCCAGTGTCACCACTTCATGAACGCAGTGTCACCACTTCATGAACACAGTGTCACCACTTTATGAACCTAGTGTCACCACTTCATGAACCCAGTGTCACCACTTCATGAACCCAGTGTCACCACTTCATGAACCCAGCGTCACCACTTCATGAACCCAGCGTCACCACTTTATGAACCTACAGTATCACCACTTCATGAACCAAGTGTCACCGCTTGATGAACCCAGTGTCACCACTTCATGAAAACCCTATGTCACCAGTTCATAAACTCTTGTGACCACTTCATAAACACCCTGTGTCACCACTTTATAAACACCATGTGTCACCACTCCATGAACACCATGTGTCACCACTTCATGAAAACCCTGTGTCACCACTTGATGAACACCCTGTGTCACCACTTGATGAACACCCTGTGTCACCACTTGATGAACACTCTGTGTCACTACTTGATGAACACACTGTGTCACCACTTAATGAACACCCTGCGTCACCACTTGATGAGCACCCTGTGTCACCACTTGATGAACACACTGTGTCACCACTTTATAAACACCCTGTGTCACCATTTTATAAACACCCTGTGTCACCACTTTATAAACACCCTGTATCATCACTCCATGAACACCCTGTGTCACCACTTGATGAACACCATGTGTCACCACTTGATGAAGACCCTGTGTCACCACTTGATGAAGACCCTGTGTCACCACTTGATGAACACCCCGTCTCACCACTTGATGAACACCCTGTGTCACAACTTGATGAACACACTGTGTCACCACTTTATAAACACCCTGTGTCACCACTCCATGAACACCCTGTGTCACCACTCCATGAACACCCTGTGTCACCACTTTATAAACACCCTGTGTCACCACTCCATGAACACCCTGTGTCACCACTCCATGAACACCCTGTGTCACCACTCCATGAACACCCTGTGTCACCACTTTATAAACACCCTGTGTCACCACCCCATGAACACCCTGTGTCACCACTTTATAAACACCCTGTGTCACCCCTTTATAAACACACTGTGTCACCAATAGGGCAGGACAGGTAAAGACGGGCAGCGGCACACATCACGTGACACAAATATGAATCATTGTCTATGACGTGACAGTGACGTATCGTCACCCTCCGTGTTGCACGTGACCTTACACCCTGATCACGTGGGCTGGCAGAAGACGGGTTATCCCCACCTGATTCATCAGACGACAGACCCGCCATCACACACAACATTCGATCCAATCGGCAACAGATAAGGGTCCACGCAGGTTTTTGTTCAACCGTTTCACAGACACGCTTACACGCATGTATTGGTCAACAGTTACATAGACACGCTTACACGCATGTATTGGTCAACAGTTACATACACACGCTTACACGCATGTATTGGTCAACAGTTACATAGACACGCTTACACATGTATTGGTCAACAGTTACATACACACGCTTACACACATGTATTGGTCAACAGTTACATACACACGCTTACACACATGTATTGGTCAACAGTTACATACACACGCTTACACGCATGTATTGGTCAACAGTTACATAGACACGCTTACACATGTATTGGTCAACAGTTACATACACACGCTTACACACATGTATTGGTCAACAGTTACATACACACGCTTACACGCATGTATTGGTCAACAGTTACATACACACGCTTACACACATGTATTGGTCAACAGTTACATACACACGCTTACACGCATGTATTGGTCAACAGTTACATAGACACGCTTACACATGTATTGGTCAACAGTTACATACACACGCTTACACGCATGTATTGGTCAACAGTTACATAGACACGCTTACACATGTATTGGTCAACAGTTACATAGACACGCTTACACACATGTATTGGTCAACAGTTACATAGACACGCTTACATGCGTGTTTAGTAACCGTTCATATATTAACAGGTCACATGAGCAGACACCCCCCCCCCCCCTCTAACCCGTCCCTCTAACCCAACACTAACCTGACATTGTTAACCTACACTGGTCGCTGTCGATGTCAGCTGACTGACAAAAGACGACTGTCAAGTCAATGAACTTGTCTTTCAAGTGGACACTGGTCACTCGCTCAGTCACGTGCCTGGTTGGCCATTAGGGTCACGTGTTCAGCTGTTGGGGACAGCTTGACCTCATGATGGCTCAAGTGGGGGGGGGGAGCACTGGCCCGTATAGGTCAAAGGTCAGATGGGGATCTCCAACACAAAAGGTCATAGTGGC